TCCTCGTCCGGGGCGCTGCACTGCGTCGCCGTCTTTGCCGGGATCCCGCTAGGTACGTCCAGGGTCGCCGCCGGGGCTCCTCGCCCGGAGGGGGCGCCCCCAGGCCAGGTGCGGGCGACCCCTAAGAGTCGCAGGGCGTCCGATGGAGCCGAGTTTGGACACGGACGCTGCAGGGTACACCACCAGGTCCTCCGCAGGCAGGTGCCTCCTCCGCTGCGTCCTCTCGCCCCGTGCCTGGGTGCGGCTCCTCTTGGCGTGGGAACCCGAAGCACCTCCCCACTCTAACCCCACTGTGGCCCCTAGGCTTGAAGGATACCCCTTTGCCCCGGGACTGAGAGCCTGGCCGTTTGGGAGCGCGCGACCCAGGAGGCGAAGGGTGGCGCTGGTCCCTGCGGGGGGTCCCCGCTATCCGCTGCGAGGCGCTGGGCGAGCTGAGCTGCGTAAGGGAAGGGCAGGTTTGCCCTGGGTCCGACCAGGAAAGGGGTGCTATGGCCTGTGCCCCACCTAAGGTGGGCGCCTTCCGGAGACTTGACGGATTGGAGACATCATCACCAGCTCCCCTCTACCCTCCCAGGCGCCTTTGGTGCTGCCCGGCCCTGGGGGGTTGGGGTTGGGTACCTCTCTGGCAGAGGGCAACTCTTTGGAGTTCTCCTGGGCAGACTTACTGGTTTGGAATCCAAGGGGTGGGGGTGGGGGTGGAGGGATGTTGTGCCTGGGGTGGGGGAGAGGTAGAAAGTTCTCTCCTCTTCCTCTTTTCCAGTGCTTCAGACCCTTGTTGGGCACTGGAGTGGACTCCTGGACACCCCCATCCCATCCTCACTCCCTCCACAGCCTACTCAATGCCCCTAGAAATGAGATCCTGCCTGTCTGAGCCTTGTCCTAATTAACGACTGTCCGCGGGGGTGCTGGTGGGAGGGGAGGATATGGGGCGTGTGCCCAGCTGGCCTAAACTACTAGGGTACAGCATCCTTGTCCTGGGGTTCTGAGCCAGGGGGCAGGGCCGGCAGCAAGTGGCAACGTGGTGCTATTGGCACCCAAAGGTCCCCAGATGGGAAAACGGTGCACTTCATGAGCTCCACTTTCTCCGGAATTCCTTAATGGTTTACTCTTTGCTGTGCCCTGGGACTGCTGTGTTGGATGTGGCCAGCAGGGAGTGACTGCTACTGGTGACCAGAAACCCCTGCCAGTAGACACAGCCCTGTCATTGGATAGAATTGATGAGCAGATTCCGGGCTGACCGGGAGGTGGGGATTAGGAGAGAGGCCACCCTTACTGCCTTTTCCATCCAGGGGGACAGGAGAAAAGCGCAGGAAATATGACCTCAGGGAGGATTTGACTGGCCGCATGGCCAGTCCACACACCCTGGACGTTAGCAGTGATGAAGGCCAGCCCTTGTTCCGCAAAGGAGACCTGCACACACCACATAGTGAAGTGTTTAATTGGGACCAAATACAAATGCTCTGAAGTGCACCTACTCTAGTATAGAGGGGTTCCTAGCTGGAAGGGGACAGGTGTAGCTTGGGGCTGTGCCCTGCAGCACAGAGGGAGGCTCAGGAACCACCTAGTCCCTGGAAAGTGGGTCTGGAGGTTTTGGCAGGAGCTGCTCCCCATGTTCTTGCTTTACTCTCCTGTTTCACATGCGGACCGCCCAGGGGCTGCGACTTGGGCAGAGCTCCTGAGAATGCTTCTTAGCCAAAGCTGACAGAAGGAGAGCCTCGCAGGCCTGCCAGCTGGGTACAAATTTGCCCCTTCTGCCTGGGTTCAGTGGGGCCATGCGAGTAGTGGAAGCCGAGTTGAGGTTAGAGGTGGGTCAGGACAGCCTGGCACATGTCTGGCCTTCTAAACATCCCAGGAGTTAATGTCTGGCTAGGTCTTGGGCTGGGACGGGTAGTCCTGTGTGCCAGGGCAGTGCTGGTCAGCCAGAGGGCGCCAGGCCAGTGAGTGAGGTCAGGTAGAGCATCAATGTCCCCTGTGCCCACTAGGCGGTCTGGTAATCCTGGTGGTAGAAGTTAAAGGTTAAGTCTAGTTACTTATTAGGCGCTTCCTCTGGGTTAACACCATCCAGGTTGTAGCGCATCTAATCCCCTGTCTCCAAAAGGTAGGGAAATACTGTCCCACGTTCAAAACGCACAGCCTGAGACGTAGAGAGGCAGTGACGTGACTTATCGAGGTCATTCAGTGGATAAGAGGTGGGGGCAGGGTTCCAGCTCCCGTCCCAGCCAGCACTCAGCCTTGCTCCCTGCAGTGTTAGTGTCACATGCACGGGTGCTGAAGTGCTAACGCTGAGGAGTCCCTGGCCGCTGGCTTTGTGGAGGTGAAGAGAGCTCACCTGGGCCTCTGGGGACTCATTCCCAAGGCCAAAGCCTAGAGCCACGCCGTCCAATAGAAATACTGTGCAAGCCACGTTCATCGTTTTACATTTCCTGGTGGTCACATGGAAAAAAGTAAAAGACACAAGTGAAATTCATTTCATGGAACCCAGCATGGCCCAAAATATTGCGTCGTCAGGAAAGTTATGACGCATTTTTGCTTTGGAAAACAGAGAAAAATACATCATGACTTTCCCGACGACCCAATAGTACCATCTTCCCATCTAATTAATATGAAACATCATGGAGATGTTTTACAGTCATTTTTTTCCCTACTAGGCCTTTGAAATCCTGCGTGTCTTTTATACAGCTCAGGTTGGATGAGCCCCATTTCAAGGGCTCCGTAGCCACAGGTGGCTGCCCCGTGGGAACGCAGGCCTAGAAAAGAGTCAGCTGGCAGCTTCCCCGCCGTTTGGGTTCTGGTCTTGCCACAAAGCAGTCCCCCCTCCAGGGTGGCACTGTGTATTTGTCTCCCCGCCGTCCCCGCAGACCAGATGACACAGATCCTCGTTGACCTTATCCAGAGAGCCAGGAGCCGGCACATGGGTGTCTTCCACCCGTCCTTCAACCTGAGTAGGTGCCTCCGAGAGGGCCTCCAGAAACACCTGCCAGCCAACATCCACCAGCTCATCTCTGGCAAAGTGGCCATCTCGCTCACCAGAGTGTCCGACTTGGAAAACATCCTTGTGTCGGATTTTCAGTCCAAAGACGAAGTCGTGGACGTAAGCACTTTGTCTGTCTGGATGTTGTAAAATAAGAAAGGCTGTCTTGTTTGGGACGTAGCACAGAGTGGGCTGTTGCAAGCCACCGGCGCCATTCTTGAAGATGCAAAAACCTGGTTGACCGTGACGCTGTTGGCTTCCTGTAGCAGAGTGACCTACATTCAGGGACCTGAGTCATAGCATAGGGAAACCCTGGGTGTTTCAGGACAGTTGCAGGTTCAAATCATGCTCCCCTCCCCCCCATCTTTCCAGACTCGGCTCTAGACCCCCTACCTCCTCCAGGGGTCCTGTCCCAGCAATGCCTGTTCCTTAATGAGTTCACCTTGCGTGAAGCCCCCCGAGGTGGGAGCCTGTCTTATTGGCCTTGGTCCTCGAAGCCCAGCACTGAGAGCGTTTGTAATATTAAAACACCACTTAATTTGGCTGATGCCTTTTCTGAGAGTTACATGGACTACATTTCACTTAACACAGGTCTGTACAGGAGAGCAGCCTGGCACGTAGAACCAGCAGCTAGTATCATCTTCCTTTTAACTTTGTTTCTAGACAGCCAGCACCTGTCCATTCCCACAAGTCCGTCCTCTCAGTGAATCAGTGTTGCGTCCCGCTTACTGCTGTCTAGCATGGTGCTACTCAAAGTGTGGTCCCTGGACCAGCAGCATCAGTGTCACCTGGGAGCTTGTGGGAAATGCACTCAGGCCCCACCTCCAACGTGTCACATCAGGACCCTGGGCTGGGGCACAGAGTCTGTGGGACAAAACGCTTTCCAGGTGATTCTAATGACTATCAGCATTCGTGAAGCTCTGATTGAGTCCCTCCCCAGTCAATCAGTGAGTCAGAAACTCTTGGTCCTGCCTGTGATGGCCCAGTGTGACTCTCGTGGGGAGCAGGGACAGCAAATTGATGTCCACAGACAGTGTCGTTAAGATGCAGATACTTAGGCCTGAAATACAAGTGTGTAGGTTGGTTCATCGTTCATTCAACTCATTTATTAAAGCACCTACTCTGTGCAAAGAAGATTTTCAGGCTTGTTGCTTTCCTCCCTTGGAGAAGGCTTCTAAAAGCCCCGGGGAGTAAAGGCCGTCTGCTTCAGTCCTTGGTTTCACTCCCTTTTGTCCTCACAGGCCTTGGTTTGTTCCACCTTCGTCCCTTTCGTCTCTGGTGTAATTCCTCCTTCCTTCAGAGGTGAGGTAAGTCTGCTTTTAAACTGTGTTTGCGTTGTTCCCGTCTGCAAGGCGACAGGCTCAAGCGCCCTAGGACCCCAAACACAGAGCCTTGTGCCTCTTGGCCCCAGGCAGGGAGTCCATATCCCCCACCCCACCCCCACCCACAGGAGTCTGGGCAGCAGAACCAACTTCACCTAGAATCACTTACCTGGCTATCTGGTTCACTTAATCTTCGACATGAGTACCAACGATAGATGTCCAGCGGCCTCATTAAAGTATGAGACACTTAGGAATCGGTTGCTGGCTTAAGGGAGAGCTTTATTCTTAGAGCTTCTCTATTCTGAGAGTTTCAGTCCTCTCTGGGACTCACTGTCCTTTTCGGCCTCCAGCTTGGGGCAGACGCTGCCCACAGGGCTGTGGTTTGGTTCCATTCAACAAATACGTAAGCTGAGCTGTGTGGCGGGCGGGCAAACAGACGTTGAGGTGTTTATTCTGTAGCCTCGGGACTAGACGCTGGGCTGTGCTGGACCAGGTGGCAGCCTCCTCCTAGGGCAGCGGTCATCAGCCAGAGATGATTTGGTGTCCCCACCCGGGGACATCTGGCAATGTCTGGAGATGGTTACAGCTGTCTCAACTGGGGGAGTGCTGCTGGCATTGGTTTGACAGGTGCAGACTGCCCAAATTGTACCCAAACCCGCCTGCCCAGCCTAAGGTGGTTGAAGGATGTGATGCCGGATATGGGTGCTCACAGTAACTGAGGCCAAATGCCGCTGGTTGGGGATAAGAGGATGACTTCTGAGGGCCGTCTAGGTCCCAGGTTCCCTGTTTCATTTAAGTCTCTAAAGCCCCTCGAGGCATTGGTTCTCGTTTTCAAGATGTGGAGACGGGAGGGGGGGGGGCTCACAGGTGAGGTATCTTGTCCAAGATTTCCTGAGCAGCAAGGGGTCTGGACTTGAACCCATGCCCTTCTGCCTCCTCTAGGGCAGGGTTTGCATCACACTGTCCCCAGTGCACAGAGCGCACACCCCATGGGCACACCTGTGGGCTCCCGCCTGGGCTCAGGACGTGGGCCGGACTCCAGCCTCCGTCTGCCTCTTTGCCAGGCACTTTCTGTGCCGTGTAGAATCTGTACAATAGTTAGCGGCACCCCTGCGTGCCAGCCTGGAGCCTGGCCGGGCACAGAAATGCTCAGGACGGATTGGCTGAGTGATCCCCAAGCCCCGTTCTCCCAAAGCATCAGCCTGCGGCTCTGAGAAACCTCTGCCCATCAAACACGTAGAAAAGCACAGAAAACACCAGTCCAGAGCTTCTGACAGGGTGTTCTTGTTTCTTAAAAGCGATACGTGGATGGAGGAGCAACTAACACTGTCCCCTTGTTGGATGCCAAAACGACCATCACTGTGTCCCCCTTCCATGGGGAGTCTGACATCTGCCCGAAGGTCAAGTCCACGAACTTCCTTCACGTGGAGGTCACCAAGCTAAGCATGCGCCTCTGCTCGGAGAACGTGTACCTGCTGAGCCGTGTGCTATTCCCCCCGGACATGAAAGTGAGTGGGGGGCTGTGTTCTGGGGTGGAGCTCTTCTTTGATTCCCTGTTTGCCTGGAGGGCCACTGTCACGTCCTGCGTGGCAAGGGCAAATGGGACACGAGAGGGGCGACGCAGATTGAATAAGAACAAGAGACAGAGGTAAGATTTAAGAGCGAGACCAAGGGACTCAGCCTTCAGAGATAGACTGAGCCACCGAATCGGGTCGACGCATGGTTTTTATTGATTATTTTCAAGGAAGTAAACTGCTGTGCTGTCAGTCATTAACCGTGTATTCTGGTATTCTGGTGCACCTTAAGGCCTTTTCCAATGACCTTTTCCCAGTGTACTCCAGCAAATGCTATGCCTTTGTACTCCACCACATTGCCCCAAGACATAATTACATGTCCTCCCAGGGGAGACAGCTGATATCATTCCATCAGGTCCCAGTCAGGCCGAGATGCCCCCCCAAGAGAACTTTACAGATATCATTCCATCCGGCCTCAGTTTTCCGAGACACTCTCTTGACTAATGGGTCAGAGACTAATACAGGGGGGGTGGTCTAAGAATCGACTGTAAGATGACAGGCCACCAGTTCTCTATGCAAACAAACAAACAGTCCCTCATTGAATGGGGACTGGGGAAGGGTCAGTGCTGCCCCGCTCTGGTCACTGGAGTCACCTGGGAACATTTAAACAGCACGGCAGCTCAGGTCCCACCTCCAGGGGCTGTGGTTTAAGTACTTGGTTCTCTCTGTCCACAGGTTTTGCACCCATGGATTCAAGCATCCATGGATTTAATCAACCGCAGATCAAAAATATTTTAAAAAAAATCCCAGAAAGTTCCAAAAAGAAACTTGAATTTGCCACTCACCGAGCCCTGTGCTGAACCCACGCAGATGAACTGATGTGTAGACGTACTTGGCCATAGCCTGTATGCAAACATAGGTTATATGCAAATCCTACATCCTTTTACATTCGGTACTAAGCATCCGTGAATTTTGGTATCCAAGGGAAGTCCTGGAACCAGTCCCCCGTGGATATCGGGGAGACTGTCACCTGGGCATAGCCTGGGTGGTAGGATAATGTTTAGTTATCTAGATGATTCTTCTTTGCAACCATGGTCACAAACCACACTGCATTGGGTGGCCTAATCCTTCTTGGTGGTGGTTGTAGTACGTCTTACCACCCTAAGGCTGTAAGAAAACCTGTAGGCTGTATACACTGGCAGTGCTGGGGACAAAGGGGGCTGTGCAGTGCGGTGTGCACCCCCAGCTATGCCCCCGCTGGAGGGAAGACTATACACCACAGCTGGTCTGCATGTGTGGCTGATACGCAGATGAGTAGAGGGGGCAGCTGTTCATTGTCCCAGTGACAACTAGGACAGGCTCCCTGTCATGCTGGGGTGCCAGCAAAGGCTCCATAGAGGGGTGCCACTCGTGCCGGGTTCCACGGGAGGGGAGGACTGCTGTCTCCTGGAGCAGAGACCCCTGTCCAGTCTCGCGGTGACTGTGCCTGGCACATGGGAGTGGCTCAGAGGTTGGAGGAGCCTTCTGTTTGTCTCCGCTGTTTTCAGATGTTTAAGTGAATGGCGCTTAGTGACACTGCCCACTCCCCCCTCACTCCCTGCAGTTAACTTACTCCATTTGCTTACAGGTGCTTGCAGAGCTATGCTTCCAAGGGTATATAGATGCGATCAGGTTCCTGGAAGAAAGTGGT